AAGTGTTACCCTGGTTCTTTAGTGCTTACGAAATATAGAGATCTATTATCTTAATTATAGATGCCAGGAATCTTAATCAAATTCCCATCTTTGTAATCTCATTACCAGCAAAATACTTGAAGAAGACACCGGCAAATAATTTCTCTAATCAAAACTCTCCCTCCGCATTGTTGATGCATGCCTAGTTGACTAGTTGTTGTAGCAACGACTTTTGAGCAAATCCCTGACAAAGTAAATATTGGATGCTTTTGTGTTTCCCTTCTGTCTTTTCTGTTCATGTATCTTCACTTTTCAGCATTGACAAGCCTGAATGTAATTGGAAAACTCAGATTAATCAATTCTGTGCATGGCTCGTAATGTATTTACTTCTTAGAGCAAGAAAGTTTGTTGTCTAATATCTCCGAATGCCTTGACTGAACTCCTTGAAGCGGATGACCAGTTGTTGAATTCACCACCGTTAGCTGATTGAGTGACATTAATAATTGTGAATTAATGACACTAGCACTAACAATGTTTGCTTTCTCCTTTGTGTTCCTGTTGTTTATTACCAACTTTTACTTTTTTTTGTGTGTCTGAATCCAGTTTACGTAGTCTGATGAGCAAGATAACAATTCAAGAACCTACTTTTGACAGGATAATTGTTGTCTACAGGTACAAGTTCCCATTCTTTGCGGATTTTTTATTTTAATTTTAAGTTCAGTAATTTGCTTGAAGCGCATTTTCTGCACAAATAATGCTCGTATTTTGTTCCTTTAATTTTCACTTGTTGTGTTGTTTGCATAATGGATTCAAGTTGTAATTATGCAGAAGAGCTGGTACCTCAGCAAAATCGGACCGAGGAATTTATGTGAAGCATTTCAGACACATTCCAATGGCTGACCTGGAAATTGTCCTGGTATGATTTTTTTTCTAATTGTTTTCTTTCAGCCTCCCAACTATGTATATGTGTACTTTTTCTTTGGGGGGGTGAGCTTCTTATAAACTGTTACATCTTGATAATATCTTTCTCTTTCTTTTTAGCCAGAGAAAAAGAACCCCAGTTTAACTCCAATGGATTGGGTCAAATTCCTTGTGTCTGCTATAGTTGGTCTGGTTAGTTATTTATCCATACAATTTGACTGCTCTACTTTCATCGTCCCTTTAGAACTTTGTTTTAAACTCTGGTATTCCTTAATTCTTTCAGGTTGCTGTTGTGAGTTCGCTTGAATTGCCTAAAGCTGATATATGGGTCATGTTTGCTATCCTCTCCACAGTGATAGGCTATTGTGCAAAGACATACTTCACGTTAAGTGTTCTGTTGATTTCAGTACTATCTGTATCAATATTGATAGATAACAAAGTGTTATCTATACCTTTATCGTTTAATTCTTACCTGCTGACTGTATTCTGCACTTCTGCATTTTGTCATGCTGAGACACTGGTTTTATATTTTGAATGCATCAGATGATTGCGAAGAATGTAACTCATTACTAAGAACATCTTCAAGCTGGTATTTTAGTGGAACTGATTTCCTTAACTTGTCTGCAGGTTTCAACAAAATATGGCTACATATCAAAACTTGATTACACAGTCAATGTATGATAAACAGCTAGATAGTGGAAGGGGTACTCTTCTACATTTGTGTGATGATGTGATTCAGCAAGAAGTATGTTAGCTTCTGTCTTCTTTTCCCCTTCAAATGCTTGTCCAGTCAATCATATGAATTTCCAGTAATGTTATTACCTACCTCCTTCCCTGGGCAACAAAGGATAATAGAACTGAAAAATAAGCTTTTCTTTTTCATTTCTTCGTGATATCTATGGGCGCAGTTGAACGTAATTAACAATATTTATATCCTTCAATTCTAATTGCTGGCCCGGAACCACGGTCATCAAAAAAAAAAAAAAACATATGATGGTCTTCTTGATTATATATGATAGACTAAAGAAACAATCATGAACACAGAGAAATGAAAGGAAGATATTTGTTATATTGATGTGCTGTTATAGGAAACTCAGAAATGTTTAAACATGTTCTCAAGGTTCCCACTTTTAATGAATATTATTGGATGGTAACTTGAGACTGCATTTAGTATTGAATGTAGCTACTGATTCTGATACAATATTCTCTGATTAGTTGAACAAGTTACAGCTGGTCCTTACAGTGTCCATGCCAAATTTGCAGGTAAAGGAAGTTATTATATCATTTTTCATTTTGATGGAACAGGGTAAAGCTACTTTGGAGGTATATAATCCTTATTCTCTCTGGATGTTTGGCATGCATATGAATATTATCCTGTACTTTTCCTTGATGCATGCTTCCATGGGGTCCATCCATTATTGTGCTACTAACATAATCTTCCATTATTCTGAGTGATGGTATAGGATCTTGATCTGCGCTGCGAGCAGTTACTAAAAGAAGAGTTCGGTGTATGCTGTAATTTTGATGTAGATGATGCTGTTCAGAAACTAGATAAATTAGGCATTGTTGCTCGGGTAAGATTGGTCTTCTGTAATAGCCTTTTGCTTTCTTTTCTTTCCCTTGACCTAGTAAATTTCTTTTCTTGCTGCCAGATATTTAGATAGAGACACTTCTGTGGGAATCACATATAGAAATCTCCCACACATTGTATAGTTTATGGATCTCCGTATTTGGACGATTCCAAACTTGGACAAGCCATTTGTTTCCTATTGCGTTGCTCATTTCTTTGCTGACTAGATGATCCTTACCACACACCATGTATATCTTCTTAGAGAAAGTTATGCGCTTTTAAGTATTAACTGGTCAATGTTTTAAACATCATCCTTTGGAATGGACATGATTGAGCTAGTGTCTTTTAAGGAAAAGACCAAGGATATCTGCAGGAATTCGTGAGTTACTCTCTAATTTTAAAACCACTAATTTACTAGAAGTCTGTCATTAGAAGCATTAAATCAAGAAGAGACTCTAGGAGCCTTCCTTTTTCAGCGACCAGCTTGAAATGATTCAGTTAGTTTATTAGCATACGAGCATTCTCTATTGCTATACCTGGAAAACCCCTGAAAAGTCTTTTCCAATATGAAAGTGGATATTGTACAAATTCTACACCGATGGAACTGGAGTCTGCCTGCCTGATGCATCCAGCAAAATGTGAAAGATTACTTTCGTTGAACAGATGTAAAATAACTTTACACATATTAAAGATTTTTTGGACGAGGAGGTTTTATGTAGAAAAACATCAAGGTTTAATTTGGGGATTTGAGTGTAGAGTGCAAATAAACGTTGCTTTAGCGAAGTAAGGTGCTACCATCAGGAAAAAGGTATGAAGTTAAAATCATACTAATGTTTAAAAACCATCATAAATTTCTTATAGATATGAAGGCATTGTTTCTGTTTTTTGTGACTAATTTTCTTGTAATAAATTTCTAATTTTGTATAGATGGTCATAATGTTTTGTTAACAATTAATATATCACTTTGCAATGGAACAGGGGGATCCCCCCAGCATCTGTTTGGTTGTGCTCACCTAGTGTCTAATGTTGTTGTCTTGAAGACAGAGCCCATGGGGGCGAAGAGGCACATGCATTGGTGCTTGTAGTAAATACACTCTATTTAGCATTATTTTTATACACTCTACCAAACGACCCCTAAGTGAAGCAAAGCGCCCTACTTCGGCTTCACCCATCTTCATAATCTTGAATGGATTTATTGGAAGCAGGAACATTAAATATATTTTAGGAAAATAAGTCCTTTCCTGATAAATGCTTTTCTCTAGAAAATATTTTTTAGTTACCAACGAAACACTAGAAAATAATTGCCAAAAGATTACTTGCCTTTAGGAAGATGTCTTCCTACGATACTGCTTCTCATTTTCTTAAGAAGTCCATTTAATAGCATATAAAAGCGAGGTGACTTAAATGTAACAAATATTTGATAAGATTAGAGAAGTCAAATCTAATCTTTTTAATGGAGATATAAGGAAATAAGCATTTTCTCAACTTGGGGAATGAACATGTTATTGTGCTATCAATTGGGATCCAGGAAAGTATCCACCGAATATGCCTACCATATTAAGTAGTATGATAAGTCCCTTTCTTGTTGGCTAGCTATTGAAGTCTATTGTTACCTTAAGTTATCCTGAAGTGAATATTTATATGTTTCTCTTGCCTCTAATATATTCTGTTCCCATTCAGGATACAATTGGACGGTATTATTGTGTTGGTCTCAAGCGTGCAAATGAGATAATTGGGACTACTACGGAAGAGCTTGTTCTCAAAGCAAAACAGGGTGCGGTTTCTTCATGATGTTATATGCCAGATGATTAGCTTCTTCATATCTTTTTTTCCCCTCTTTTTGGCTTGTAAGAAAAGAATTGAATACCACACATGGGGGTGTTTGCATGAGCATGCGTATTTTATTCATTACAAATCTTGGATGCTGCTACAGTTTCTTGGGCTTTCGATGTCATATTCACTGTTGAAAGAGTGAAGTGAATGCGGAATATCATGGATGCCTGAACTCTAAGCCTAGAAGTAGTCCTTATTGTGCTTTTATAAATGGAAAATGTTGGTACGGAAATGAGCATTCTAGAAAGCTGATGTTTGGCTCCAACTTTACAAATTCTGTCACCATGATTCTTCTAGAAGCAGGGCAATAAAGAACGTCTCCTACAACAGTGTGTTCATATCCACTAAACATGTAATACCATGAAAAGAAAAGACTAGCCTTCTGGAAACTGAGCATACGAGAAAAGCTCTTCCTCAACGTTTTCACTATGTAAGCTATTCATCTTTGATATACTTCTTCCTCATAACTTGCATTCAAGTTATCGCCTTAATCCTTGTGAAATACTACTAATCTAGCTTACATGGCAGGCAAGCCTGAGATGGAATATGAAGTAGTATTTAACAAAAAGATTCAAAAATTTACGCCAGAAAATCTTCATCTATTATCAACAAATAATTGTTTATCACAAGGTTTTGAGCACATCTATGAGAATAATGGGGGGGAACAGCCGCCAACTTTTTTTTTTTTTTTTTACAATTAACAAACAGCTGGATGCACCTCCCTCTCCAATCTGGTGTTTCTGTAAATATAATCTGAAAAATCACACAAACAAAAGAATTAATACAACCAAGAAGCTTAATTCCCACTCCATCTTATTTTAAAGCCCTAAAAAGTTGACTTCCAAGAGTCACAACTGGAGTTCCTTCTCCCATTATTGTTGTCAAGCTCATTTCTTTCTCCAGTATCCGGTCCAGTTCCATCACCACATAACTCATGGTAGGCCGCCTTTCACTCGAAGGGTCAACGCACCGGACAGTCAATTGCATGAACTCTTCCATGCCTTCTGTGGTGAAGCTATTACCCAATCTTGGATCAATGATGGCAGATATGTTTCCAGAGTCTTGATAATTCTCCACCTGAAATGAGAAAAATACTCTATTAGCAACTGCATAACTAGCTGAATTCCTCGATTGTCTGTCGGGGCCTCAATATCCTTTGTCAATAATACATTTGAGAAAAAAAAGTCTTTAAATGAATCAGCTTGGTCTGGAAAGGGTATATACCCATTCAACTATGTTTACATTCAAATCTGAAGATAGCAAATCCATTGCTTCATGGCCGCTAACTAGCTCCAGGAGAAATATACCAAAACTGTAGGCATCACTTTTCTCAGAAAATCGTCGGAACTCTCTGACCCTACAGAATAATGAGAAAAAGTCATTGGATCTTCACATCAATCATATCCCTGCTGAGCCACAGAGGAGAAAAGAATGAAAGGAAAGAAGTTCCAAAAACAAACACTAAAGAAGCAAGAAGACTACTCTGGGGCAAGAAATATTTCATCAGCAGCCACTCGAGAAGATGGGCCTGCAACCTCAAATCTTCCAAGAAAATTGCGTAATCCCGCATCTGCAACTTTAGCTATGAAATTTTCATCCACAAGAACATTTGCTGTCTTAAAGTCTTTATGAATCAAGCGGGGACTTAGCGAGTGAAGATGAGCAAGACCTGCATATATAACATTGAGCGAGAATGAAGCATAAGAATCAATACTGTTAAAGTATTTCAACTCAAAGAAGTGGATGCAGGGCCCTTAAGTATTGTGAAAGCTTATCTTTGCCAGACCACTACTAGGACAGGCATAATTATTTTCCCAAACAAAAGATAAACCAATACCAGGGGAACCCAAATGCTCACTGATTTTGCAGAGGATCACCTTTAGCTGCCCCTAGAGCTATAGAAAGCCTATGCTTGAATTCTAGCTTCTCTTGTGTAACATGACCGCCACCTAGGAGAAAAACCCATGAAATGAAGATCAAACAGAAAAAGATATTGCACCTTACAAAAGTTCACAATATTCTCTAATTGACTTGCAGTTGAAAACGAGTAAAAAGCAAAGACAGATTGGAACAAAAAAGAGGGACTACTTTTAATTTTTTTTTTTGTATGTTGGGGTGGGGGGTGGGGGGTGGGGGGAGAAGAAGCTGAGAACTTGGAAAATAGTCACTACAATGTACTGAAATCAAACTGTTAGAGAAGATGAGGCAATTCCCTAAACAGTCAAAATTTGCCTGGGACAAAATATTGGTAAAGAACAAGTATAAAATGGAAAGGGATGAAACAGAAGTTTTAGTAAAAAGAGGATTACCATACAAGTGAATGGATACACTTCCATTAGGTATGTACTCATAGACAAGATTCTGCTGATCATTTTCCTGGCAATATCCTAAGAGGGTGACTAAGTTCCGATGCTGAATAGATGAGAGATAGCGAACCTGATAGGAGATACAGTCTGAATACATCAAACCACAATGAACACATAGTCATACGAACAATCATAAGTCATTTCTGATACACCTACGATTGATGAGAGGTATTGATAGTTTGCTGCTTATGTACATAGTTGTTGCTTTATCAGCATACCAGCTTAATGTTTACCATCAGTAGATCTTCCAAGTATATTGGATATATGATGTTGGTAGGGAAAAGAATTAGGGCCTTAGTAACAAACCCAAAAGATGATGACAAACATGTTGTTAAAGAAATGGACCTTAACAAACCCAAAAGATGATGACAAACATGTTGTTAAAGAAATGGACCTTGGAGCTAACTCAACCCCAATATCTAGTTCGAGAGGTGAGGATAGAAGTTCAAAATTTAGAAATAATATCAAATACCATGACAACCCAGAAATGGAAGTGTGCTTCTGACACTATTAATGGTTGCATATTCAATTGAGCACGTGACTGGGTTGTCTGTACCTGAGCTCGAAAAAATTTCTTTACAGTAATAAAATCTCCCCCATTTCAGGGGGAATGGCTGAAGAGAACTTTTTATTTCATAAAAAAATGCATTGTCATGAATCATGATAACTTAATTTGTCCAGCAAGATACTTAGGACTCCCCATGGTTAGCAAGAATGGAATCAAATACCATAGAGTACATGCTTTATTCCACACAGTTATTTTCTCAGTATGTGACTACATAACCCACTTCTTTTCCTTTCCCAGTTGCCAGTTGTGCAATGCAATTTTATCAATTTGTGACCCAGATAACCCCTAGGTCCCTTCTCCCATTACAGACACAATCACAAAAAGAAGATAAGTAAAGACTTCACCAATAATAGTCCTCTCAACATGTCTTTAAGTTTCGTTTCATCCTCCTAATATCCAGGTTCACTAAGATGGTCCAATTAAAGCCGGAGGGACTAAAATGTTGTGAAAGTTAACGTCTGTGTAAAACACAAAGGAACAAGGACCCAAACCCGTCAGTACATCTCAGTTGCAGCTTGGATTTGACATGCCTTATTCACATCATGTTGATCACATAACAGAAGAGTGGTCCAAGGGAAGCAGCTAAAAGATGCTTCAAATATAACAGAAAAAGTTGCTTGCTCATCTTGTGTTTGGATTTGAACTTTTAAGGAAACTGTTCAGGTAAAGGATTAGGGCTAAGTGGCGCAAAACGTAATTCTCAAATCGAAAGGTCTCATTGACAACTTAAAAGGGTTTATCGGTAGTTGGTCACAGTTTAGGAAGGAGATAATGCAATGAAATAATACCACAATTGGGAGAAAAGTAACAAATATTTTCACTTGATGATATTGACACGAGGAGCCTCTCTACCTCTGAGGCAGGGGGTCTGCATACACTCTACCCTCCCCAGACCTCACCCTACTTGATGGGACTACACTGGTTATGCTATTGTTGTTGTTGATAATGATACAAGGTAATCAGCAAAGTCTCAACGATTTTAATGTAAAGAGGCAAGATTTTCTTACTTCAAACTGCATCAAGGATCACATTCTGGTAACTGTGAGAAATATATACGAAAAATATTATTGAATTGTGTATCTAAATAGTTACATTGAGACCCTATTTATAGACACTACATTGGAATCCTTTTCCAACTAGGATTCCTATTCCTATTCCTATTCTTATTTCTATTCTAAGTAGGAAATACTTATTTCTATTCTAACACTCCCCCTCAAGCTGGTGCATACAAATCATATGTACCTAGCTTGTTACAGATGTAATTAATACGAGGACATGTGAGGGACTTGGTGAAGATATCTGCAAGCTGATCATTTGACTTCACAAATTTCGTAACAATATCTCCCGAGAGTATCTTTTCTCTGACAAAGTGACAGTCAATCTCAATGTGCTTAGTCCTTTCATGAAACACTGGATTTGATGCGATATGAAGAGCCGCTTGATTATCACACACAAGTTCCATCTTATCAACTTTGCCAAATTTTAGTTCTCCCAGCAACTGTTTGATCCAAACTAGCTCACAAGTTGCTGTCGCCATTGCTCGATATTCTGATTCTGCACTAGATCGAGCAACCACATTCTGTTTCTTGCTCTTCCACGACACCAAATTACCTCCTACTAAAACACAATATCCGGATGTCGAACGTCTGTCAGAGGGTGATCCTGCCCAATCAGCGTCTGTATATCCAATGATATGCTCATGGCCTTGATCCTCAAAGAGTAGTCCTTTACCGGGAGCTGACTTTATATATCGCAGAATACGAACAACTGCTTCCCAATGACTATCACAAGGGGAAGTCATAAACTGACTTACAACACTCACAGGAAAAGAGATGTCAGGTCTAGTCACTGTGAGATAATTCAACTTTCCAACAAGTCGTCTATACCTTTCAGGATTACTAAGTGGCTCCCCCTGTCCTGGAAGAAGTTTAACATTCGGATCCATAGGAGTGTCAACAGGTCTACATCCCATCATCCCTGTCTCCTCAAGAATGTCTAAGGCATACTTGCACTGAGAAATAACAATACCTGATCTAGACTGAGCAACCTCAATACCTAGAAAATACTTCAATCTGCCAAGGTCTTTAGTTTGGAAGTGCTTAAAGAGATGTTGCTTCAAATCGGTGATACCATCTTGATCATTACCGGTGATAACAATATCATCAACGTAAACAACCAAATAGATACATCGACTTGGTGCAGAATGCCGATAAAACACAGAGTGATCAGCTCCACTACGAGTCATGCCAAACTCCTGAATTACTGTGCTGAACTTCCCGAACCAAGCTCGAGGAGACTGTTTTAGACCATAGAGTGACCTGCGCAATCGACATACAAGGCTACTAGACTCCCCCTGAGCAACAAAACCAGGTGGTTGCTCCATATAGACTTCTTCCTCAAGATCACCATGCAGAAAAGCATTCTTAATGTCCAACTGATGAAGAGGCCAATGACGAACGGCAGCCATAGATAGAAAAAGACGAACAGATGCAATTTTAGCCACAGGAGCGAAAGTGTCACTATAATCTAGCCCAAATATCTGAGTATACCCTTTGGCAACAAGGCGAGCCTTAAGTCGATCAACCTGACCGTCTGGACCAATTTTGATTGCATAAACCCAACGACAACCAACAGTAGATTTACCTGCAGGAAGGGAGACAAGCTCCCAAGTACCACTCTTATGTAAAGCAGACATCTCATCAACCATAGCCTGCCTCCATCCAGAATGAGAAAGTGCTTCACCTGTAGTCTTAGGAATGGAAATAGAGGACAAAGACGACACAAATGCATAATGGGGTGATGATAGACGATGATAACTTAAGAAGGTATAATGTGGGTTAGTATTTCGAGTGGATCGTATACCTTTTTGAAGTGCAAGCGGTTGGCTAGGAGGAGGCAAGTCTGCAGTAGGAGCAGGGTCTGGCGCATGACATAAATCATCTGGGACTAGGGTTGGACGTGGACGGCGATGATAAGTTAGTAGTGGTGGCACTACAACTGGAGATGTAGAAGTAACCGTAGATTCCACAAAGGTTGGCACAGGTAAAACCTGAGGTATGGGTAAGACCATAGAGACATCAGGATGATCAGAAGATGTATAGTAAGGCTGAGACTCAAAAAATGTAACATCAGCAGACATAAGGTATCGATGAAGATCATGTGAATAACAACGATACCCTTTTTGGACTCGAGACTAACCAAGAAAGACACATTTGAGGGCACGAGGAGCTAATTTATCTTTTCCTGGGGCTAAGTTATGAACGAAGCATGTGCTCCCAAAGACACGAGGAGGGATAGGATAGAGATGTGACTGAGGAAACAGTATGGAATGGGGAACCTGATTCTGAATAGAAGAAGAGGGCATTCTATTTATCAAATAACAAGACGTAAGAACTGCATCTCCCCAAAAACGCAATGGAACATTGGATTCAAGGAGAAGAGTACGAGCGGTCTCAATAAGATGCCGATTTTTTCTTTCAGCTACACCATTTTGTTGAGGGGTGTATGGACAAGTAGTCTGGTGAATAATGCCTTGGTGAGTCATAAACTCCCGAAATTGGGAGGATAAGTATTCTAAGGCATTATCACTACGAAAAGTACGAATAGAAACACCAAACTGATTTTGTATTTCAGCAAAGAAACTTTTGAAAATAGAAAATAACTCAGAACGATCTTTCATTAAGAAAACCCAAGTACATTTTGAATAATCATCAATGAAACTAACAAAATAACGAAATCCTAAGGTGGAACTGACTCTACTAGGACCCCAAATATCAGAATGAACTAATGAAAAAATAGACTCTGAACGACCCTCAGTACTACGAGAAAACGTAGCACGAGTGTGTTTCCCAAGTTGACACGACTCACAATCTAATGTGGATAAACTAGACAAACTAGGCACCATCTTTTGCAGTTTGGATAGACTCGGATGTCCCAAACGTTTGTGAATTAAATCTGGGGAATCTGTAATGGAGCATGCTGCTAAGGAATTTGAAGAGGTAAGATAGTAAAGGCCTTGTGATTCATGTCCTGTTCCAATCATCTGTCCCGTACTGCGGTCCTGCATGAGAAAAAAATCATCGAAAAAAGTTATGCTACAATGTAGGGCTTTCGTCAAACGACTAACAGATGCTAGATTAAAAGGAGAACCAGGGACATAAAGAACAGAGTCTAGGGTGACAGAAGATAGGGGTTTGGCTTTTCCAACCCCTTTTGGTTTGGTTTGGATCCCATTGGCTAAAGTAATAGCTGGAAGAGATTGTGAATAAACAATATCGGATAAAAGTGATTTATTACCAGAGATATGATCAGAAGCCCCAGAGTCCATGACCCATGTTCCAAGAGTACTAGATTGCGACACACAAGCAAAAGAATTACCCGCAACAGAGACATCAGGTTGTGCAACCGAAACTACTTGTGGAGACGTTTGCTTATTTGCGCGATTTCGAAGGAACTCATTATATTCCTTTAGAACAATAGGATCATAACTGGGTGGTGGACCA